GGGGGGCTTATTTAATTTTTCCCAAATGGTGGCCTGACATGATCATTTTTCTTAATACATGTACATCATCTGCGCGTAAAAAACAACAACATAAGCTTATCAACGACATAAAAAGCTGATCCTTAAGTTTAAATCGTGGTACCGTTAGGACTTAACGTGTTCAACGTGTCCACTCAATGTGTTCACAAACATCTTTGTTGTGTCAGTACTCACCCACAAAATGGGGGGAGGGCGCTTATTTTAAATTTTGGCCGATAGGAGGGGCGCTTATATATTCGAAGGGGGCACCTATTTGAGGGGGGCGCTAATTCGAGGATTTACGTTATTGTAAATTCGTAGGGGTGAGGGGTGAGNGGTGCTTATTTTAAATTTTGGCCGATAGGAGGGTCGCTTATATATTTGAAGGGGGCGCCTATTTGAGGGGGGCGCTAATTCGAGGATTCACATTATTGTAAATTCGTAGGGGTGAGGGGTGAGGGTTGTCAAAAGTATGAAGCTACACGGTAAACTGGAATTTACTGGGTATAGGCAGGGGCTACATTAAGGCCATCAGTGGGGGTATGGATATTTTCTACTACTTCTTCTCTAACATTTGTACAATGTAAAGGAAAAATACATTTTCAATACTGTCATTGCAGGAAACATGCTAACATTTCTGTATCTTGCCTCCGTCTAACGAATTCCTTTGTTGAAACAGCAAGTATGGTTTGTAACAATTTGTGACATATTACATGAATGGGTGGAAGTAAATTTTCCTTACAGATTTCGACCACATTTTGGTCGGAAACAGAGTATGGTTTGTGTACCCTGGTAGGGTTAGATTGAAGAAACTAAAGTAATTTTATCATTGTAGTCATTCATCTCCTGAGAAATAGCATTCTCAAAAAGTCAAAGTGAACAAGGCAGCTATGGGGTAGAATAGGTTTTTGGAGTTTGGTTTGAGTCTCAAATAGGTTAGTGAAGATCACATAATTAAGCTGGTTTCTAGAAGCGCACCACACACCCCTACTAAAAAAATGTCTGAGTGTACTTCTGTCCTGTCCCCGGCTAGCGGCTCTCTGTTTAGAGACAATGTGATGTAACATGCTTGGTGCCACACCCCTCGTTTGTTTTAATCACTTCGTATCCGACAAGAGTGAGAGAGAATTGTGTATTTAATTCTTTAATCGACTGGATTGTTGGAGTCGTCACGTAACAGCGGATGGAGCATTGCGTGACGACTTGGAGACTACTTTATGTGGACACTTCAGTGTGATCTAAACGAGTTGATAGTGTGAAAAGGCGGGAAAATTTGTCGGGCATTGTTCCAAGGAACATGTTAGCAAAGCGAGCGAGGCAGAGTTTACTTGCTACACATCAGTCGTATGCATTGTGGAAAATTGTAGCAAACGAAAGAGGTTTGCGGCAAGGTCTGAAAGAATAGCCTTGCGGAAAATTGTACGGATGACATTCGGCGGAATCGAGAGTTCTCATGCTTTCGCGGCTGCCGTCATTGATCATCATCAAATCATCGACAGAATCGATCAAGTTCTGAGGCTCGCTGACTGTAGTGAAAAAGGACAAGATCAAATTGTAAGGTAACAAACTTAAATAACCGAAGGACTCAGCTTAATTTTAATTTACATGATTGTGGCGGAACCGAAAATCTGTTTTGCTTTAGATCTCGTAGATTTTGCCACAATTCATCTTCTTACAGGATATCTCTTGCATCAAACTCTGCGTAACTGTCGCTTTTTGACAAAGACACTGTTGACACATACTTTGCGAAGTTGATATGTCTTGAAGTCAAAGTGGAGACTCGGGAAAAAATGCCTTAAGCTATAAGCTTAAATTGCAATGAGAAAGGGATTTTTTTTTGCCGCCCAGCCATATTCCATTCACGTGCACAGATGATTGACACGTGTTTCACAAGGCCTGCAGACAACAAAGACACCCGTTTGAAACCCAAACAAGTCATTAAAGTAGCTTTATATATTCACCTTCTTTCCTCCTCGTACTTTGGAGATTTGGCAGTGAGCCGATGTTAACTAACTACAATACAGGTCAATACACCATCACATAATTTTTTGATTAATGCGAGTTTTACAGTTGAGTCGGCGATCATTTCCTTGCCTCATAAATTCCTTTCCTTAGAATACAGTTAATGGAGGGGAATGGAGTCTTCTCTATTAAATATGCTTAGAAACACCATAGTCTCTTGTAAATACTCATTCGAAATATCAAATGTTGACTGGTTTATTTTGACGGGTGTTTCAAAGTGAATGACAAAATAACTCATGCAATCAGAACCTAGGGTTGGATAATAGCAATCTTACTTTAGATTAAATCTAGAAGTTTGAAACGAAGGATGTCAACTCTTTACGACGATGTAAATCATTCGAATGTGCTGAGTATTTTGACCGTATGTTATCTTTCTGGTTCTTTTTGCCGTCATGTGCAGGGATTTGGGCAGCGTTTAGCCGGCAGCGTTATAAGCTCTACCACCAATGTTTGACCTAACTGTTCTTGTTAACCAATCAGCACACAGAAAATGAAGTGTGACGTCATTCTGTTAGGTATGTCCAACCTCATTTCCAGGCTCTCTGGGAAAGAAGGGGGAGCCTGGGGTCGAGGTTGAGGTATGTCTTACATGGGGATGCCGTGGACCCGTCCCACAGCCGTCCCGTCCCGTAGTCTTGTGATTTTGTTATTACAAGAAATTACACTCGTGTAGTGCTAAACTGTTTATTTGCCATAAAATATTTACAACTGCGTTAGCAACTTATCAGTTCACTTGTGTCTTCAGCGTTAAATGACGCTAGCTGTCCAATGTTGTTACATTAAAAACGATAATAGGGCGAAAAAACGACAACGGGGAATGGTGAACGAACAATCAATCAACTTGATTTTTAAATGTACACGTAGGAATTTACACGGCTTGAGATATTTACACGGCTTCATGCTTAAACTTCAATGAAACGATTTAACTGAAATATTTCACACAACAACCCGACTCCACTTTTCAACAACCAAACAACTCAACAGTTTAAGTTTGTTTTAGTGGTTGTGATAAATCCTGAACAACCACGGGTCAGCAGAGCCTCGCAAAATTGAACAGTTCCATTTTTAACAGGCTTCTTGCAATTGCTTTCATCCGAAACGTACGTTGTCATGACAACCCAAGCCGTAAATAGGCATTGAAAATGCTCCATCTTTAGATGAGCGAGTTCAAACTCAGTCGGCTGTTGTTTAACTCATCCCCAATCTTCCTCAACATGGATCCAATCTCCCTGGACGTGCACTTTTCTCTGTTGGCTGAGTCAGAATCCGCTGACCGGTGCTGAGCGCCTGTGTTGGTAGACTGGGCCGCGCGGTCACGTGGCTCGATGCGCTTGAAACTTCTTCTGCGGCTGCTGTTTCGGCGGAGAAGACCGGAAAATCCCATAATGCAGTTTAAGCTGTAGGACTTGGTAACTGTACCTAGAAAATGAACACAAAAACCTTATGTTGTTTGATCAAGATCACTGAAATTAAAAAACAGCCATTTTTTTGTCTAGAATTTTTTAATACTCCTCTTTTGTCTAGAATTCTTTAATACCCGTCGCTACCTCATCGATCCCCACTGGCCTGTCGCAATTCGCAATAAATAATTGAATTAAGACGGCACCAGACGTACAAACATTTGTGGCCATTTGCGGCCATGCCGATGTAATCAACAGGTGAGAAGACGGCTAGTTGGGCGGAAACCTTAAATCAATAAATGGGATTAATAAAGAAAGGAAATAGCCGCTATCTTAAGTGTAAAACTTCTATCAGTTAAAGAAATTGTGTCGGTGTACTGAGGTTTGTTTAATATATCAGATCTCTGCCGAATCGAACTTAAAGGGGAAAAGAAAATCTCCATTTTTTTTTCATTTGTTGACTACAAACTGGTGAAATTGTTGTTTGCAAGCCTTGTGAACAGCGTGGCAAACCTTTTGTAAGTAAAACGCCCTTGCGGTTTAAACCACAATTCGACAAACACTTAGTCTTAAAATAAATATTTTGGACTTCTCTACCCTTGTTTAAAAGGCTTTTTTCTTTTCTATTTCTCAATCAAATGTGAAATACAGAGGGGCGAAAAGGAGTCGGTTTCTTTGACTGCCGTGAGGGCTTTTTCGCTTAGGTAGCAGAAAGAAGATAGAAAATATCTCTGGGAACAGAGCAGAACTTCTCACAAAGTCGATTGTTGATTTCTCGAAAGGTGTTCCTTTGAAGTGAGGTTTGTTTTTAAAATCCGGCTTTAACTGGCTTTTCCTTTAAGGTGTGGTGGATTTCCACCGGTGCATAATTTTCACGAGTGTTTAGACGTGAATTCAACATGTTCACCTGTTTTTTGTGCATATTAAAAATGTGACGGAGAAGAAGTAAGGACAATTTGCGTCGGTGAAAAATTCTGAGGCACCTGGGCCATAAGTTTTACGTGAGGAAACCAGTTATATTCCCCTGTGTACTCACAAATAGCGTGTGAAAATTATCTGTACAGGTCATTAGTATTAAAATTCAACCGAATTTAGGTCAACGAGAAATTGTTTTTCCCAATCCAGTGACACACGTCACACACGAAATTTCAGTTTAAAATAAAACTTAATTTTAAGTTTAAAGACAGATTTGAAGGCCGCTTAGTCTCTTTGTAACCTGTCAACACACAGCATATCCCGAAAGATAGGAATGGGCGGTGAAAAGTTGCTTCCTATCTGAAAAGTATATCATATTTCACAAAGGAATTAAATTTGTGGATTAGTAGAAAGTTGAGTCGTCGAAAGGATTAGTGTCCATCAATAGCTTTTTTTTTTTGCCAAGATTTCGTTGCACTGGTGAAATTAAATCAACTTTTTGACCACTTGTCTATCAACTAAACCGACGAGAAAACAATTTGTAACTTTCTTCTTTTAGCTACCAAAGACTTGTCGAGGCACAGCCCCTCTATTAAATTCGATTATCCCAAATTAGTTTTTTCAACGAGTCAGTTTATTTCGGAAATGTTTTTGTAATAACTCTTACAGAACCGGAAAGAAACTTAAGCTAACAGAACAAGTTATAGCGGAGAATAAGTTTAATACCAGCTTGGGATTTTTAAGAAGATTTGTGGGTAAAATTTATCCTCTTTAATTAAGCGCAATATGTCAGCTTTGTAGAATTAAAAGGAGGTGTATTTTTTTTGATAGGGACGTTTCAGTTAAATCCAGATAACGACACGATGTGAACAGAAGGAGAAACAAGATATTCCTTTTTCGCATTCGCTAAACGGTGGAAAATTTCCGCCTAAATGAGGTATGATATTTCGGAGTCTTAATAGGCCGGTCTGTGAAAATTACCTTTTTCGTTGAAAGGGACCTGATTGATTTCTCAACGAATGCTTGAATAATAATACCTTAAACTATATAAAAACCACTTGGATTGAAGGTAAATGACAAAGATAAAACAGGTTAAATGGTGGTGTTTATAAATAGAGACAGTTCAAATACGTGGGCAGATGCTATCCTCTGCAGCGCAAAATTCACTGGTGGGTCTAAATGTTATTAAATGTTTCCCTGCAATCTTAGTGTATAAACTTAACTTAATAAAGTCTTACCTCGAAAATAAATCAGTCGCTTTAAAAATTGCCTCCTGAACCGGTCGTCGCTAGTACTGATCTACGGGTAGACGTGCTATGATTTCAGCACTGCGCGCTCAAGGATTTCTGAGTGTTATGACAAACACCGGAGCCTTGTTATTAAGCAAGTTTATTTATGGTTCACCATGACGTAATGCCTTAGGAACCGGAAAAGTGCATCCTTGCGTATTTCCGCTTTTCAGTCGGGTTACAATTCTTTCTTGCAAATCGAAACTTGAAAATAAATGGATTCGCTGCCGTGGAAAACACTTAATTGTAATGCGCTAACTTCTCAAAATTAAGAAAATGTCTGTTCTGACTTTTTTCGTTTTGCTCACGTTTATGCCAAGTCAGTGTGACGCACCGCTAAAAATCCTAATTATTTTTGCAGGAAAATTCGCTGATAAATAGTGACATAATGTAGAAAGAATTCCAAACTTGTACAGCTGTGTCCTGCACGGGGTTGAAAGTTTTACTGGGCATGCGTTTGGCTGTTTTTTTGCGGCTATTTTAGGAATTTTATCAAAAATAAACAACTTGTGGGGTATAACTCCACTAACCCTGCCCAACGGCACAGTAAATGACAGGTTTTGAAAGAGCCAACTTATTTCTCAATTTATTTTTTTCGTTTGCCTTGACCTTAGTACAGAATGACATTTATTTTGTCCATGTTGTTCCTTGTCTCAATAACGCTTTCTCAGCGAAACCCTCGTTGCTTGGAAACCGACTGAGTGTTTTTCTGCGGTTTAGAAAGCTAAGAAAAGTAACGTGTCGGAAGGAAATGGCGATATTTGATTTTTTT